CTGTTTAGGGAGATTGCTACCTTTAGCATTCCTCAGTCCCATCAACTCATCCTCTGCCTTTTGTAGTCCCAACTGCGTGGAAAACAGCGACAAACTATCACCATCATCAGCCAACTTCTTCCTCCTCCAGTCCCCAATGCCCTCAAAAGAAGACCCGCCACCCTGAAACCTTTGTGCAACACGCCAATCCTCTCTCGACAACAACGGTGGAGGCAATCTTGGGTTAATATTATCATGCGAATAGTAGTACGAAAGATAAGCAGGATGAGATCGAATCTCATCTTCGGACAAAACCCCATTGTTATTACTAATCCTACTAGTCACATCCCTAAAATCTGAGTTCCTAAAGAGACTACCCACAGCAGTTAGCGAACCCTCAACAGTTGGCGGGGCACTGCCGCTCCTATACATATTCACGTCCCTCTCCCGGTGAATGGCATGCTGATTGCGCTGCTCTCTCAGAATCAATTCAAGCTCACTCTGTAAAGCATCTTCTAAATTCCCATTGGATCCTTGCAGATTATTATCTAGGGTTGACAGCATATCTATGTTACTCCCCGTAGCCATCTCCACAACTCTAAATTATCACAAACAACAACAAAAGCAAAACAGAAATTCTTCAAATTCAGCTAGTTTTTGCATTCGATAAATTGTAATCATTAAGAAAGGTAACAATTGGCTAACTTTTTTGTGCTAGGACCCAAATGATCAACATCCAATATAACTTTAGAATTCAAAGCATAAAATTCTCGAAAAAAGAACAATATTTGAAACAAAAATTTCGTACCTTTAAGCGTGGGCAGAAATCCTCACGATCAATACAATCAAATCCCGAACAATTCCTCGGGTGACTGCGAAAATCATGGAAATCACATCAAAATCAGCCCACTCAATTATATGATCAGTTATCACATCAACAAAACAGCATCAAAACATCAAAAGTTTTTAACTTTGTTGTAAATTTAATAAATTGTAACGAAATTGGTACTGATGAAACCGAGTAAATGGTCAACCTGCGGAATTGATCGCTGAGGGAGCTCCACCAATAATCCAATTGCTATATGTACAGAAAGAATATAATGTGTGTATATATGTGTATATACGTATATACGATTGAAGAAGCTGAAGTTTTTCTTGGTCAAAAATCTAGGAAAGAATTTCGGAACAATTCCAAGGGTTAGAGAGAACTTTAGAGAGAGAGAGAGGGGGCTGAGGTTGGGGATGAGATCGTGTGGGCCTGATATCCTTTCGAAACGGCCGCTTTTTAATTTTTAGAGAGAGAAAGAGACTGGAGAGAGAGAGAGAGAGACGGAGTTTTGGTGGGGGCGAGGCGGGAAGAGAGGAGATGGTGGACCGTCTCACGAGAGGTATGATACGTGCATGGACGAGTTGTAACAAATTTTAGGGTTAGTTTCGTATTGGTGCGTTTTTAATAAAAACTATCTCTGTTGAGAGACAATTGAAAAGTAAAGTTGTTAGTGTTTGGTAATTTTCTTTTGTAAAAGTGCTTCAATAAAAAAAAAATAAAACAATGTTTTGAGTGTTTGGTAAATTTCTATATAAATTGTTGTGAATATGTTAAGGGTAAGTAGATTTTACCCTCTCAGGTTTGTGATTGGTTTCAATTTCTTACAACATCTTTAAAACATTTTAATTTTATACATTTACTTATCATTTTATTTCAATTTCATATATCTGTTAGAAAATCTGTTAAGTAAATTGTTAAGTGATGACGTGGCAAATAAAGGATCCCCATTTCTGCTGATGTGTCTACCACATTTATGGCACGTGACTAAACACTAAATAAAAATTTTAAAATATTAAAATAATTAATTAAAGTAAAGCAACAAAAAAAAGCCAAAACCTAGTTCGTCTTCCCCACCCTAGCACACCCTCAACCAAAATCAGACACACCCCTTCTCCCCACCCGAGCCCACCCCCAAATCAGACATACTCCCTCTCTCTCTCTAATCCCTAGCTCCAAATCGAAGTAATCAAATCAAATCAAACAACGTTGGGAAGGTGGAAAGCAAAGGAAGGTGGTGCTTGGCGCGCATGAGGGGGTTAACGAGGAGACGAAAGATGTTTCGTCGAGGATGACGAGTCATCCATGGGAGGAGCCGTAGCGGCACTTGCGGTGAGAAGCTTCTAGAAGGTGGAGGAAGTGTGCTCTGCTGTTGGAGAGGTTGAAGAAGGCGCGGTGGGATTGGGGAAGCATCAACCAGGAGAGCTGGGGAGGGAGTGTCAGGTTTTGGGGACGGAGGCTCGCCAGCTGTGACACACAACTCGAAATCAGAGGTAGTTGGCGTAGATTGTGAGCTTTTTGGAGATTGATTCGGCGAGTTCTGGTGGTGCGGGGCTTCTAGGTTTTAAGTTATTTATTTTTTGGGGTAAATTATTATAATATTTTAAATGAATAAAAATTTATTTTTTTAGGCACAAATTTGGCAGCCAAATGGTAAAAATGTGGCAGTCACGTCAATTCTTAACGGATCAATGTATGGAAAATGTAACAGATGTATTATATTGAAATAAAATAGTACTTGATGTATGAAAGTAAAATGTTTTAAAGATGTTGTATGAGGTTGAAATAGACTTCAAACCTAAGGTGGTAAAGTGTAATTTATCCAAATGAAAAAACAAATGTGGTATTTAATATGATATAATAATGGGTTAATCTCAGTTTACTACCCTGAAAACTTCGTGGTTTTCAATATTTGGTACATGAAGTTTTTTTCATCTCAGAATCATACCTCAAGTCTTAATTTTGGGACTATCTCATACATCTTTTGGCTGTTAAGTCAGCTGTTAACTGGTGATGTGGCTCCCAATTGGACAATGACTGAGTGCCACATGTCAATATGGGCCCACGTGATATTAAAAAATTAAAAAAATTAAAAAAAAAAAATAATAATAAATAAAAAAATGCTATAGGGATGCGTGCTTCTCCTTGTGTTTTTGCAAAACCCTTCTTCCTCTTCTCTGGCATTCATCGCAGCGATTCAGATGACGAAGAGGAGTAGCAACTGGGCTGAGTTGGGAACGGGAGAGGCGTAGCCGCGGTGATCTATTCGTCGGAGCTCGAGCGGAAGTGAGTCGGCAGAAATCGTGCGGCTGCCAACCCCTCTCTCCTCTCCTCTTCTCTCTCTCTTTCTCTCTCTCTCCCCATCTACCTCTCTCCCCTCCGTGCTTCATAACATCAGACTTTCTCTCTCCTCTTCCTCTGGGAGAGACACATATACAAATACTCCCTGACGCGGCCCCTCCCTCGATTTTTCCTTTAATATTTTTTTTTCAATTTTTTATTTCTAAATCTCACCCATTCGAACCCAGCTGCAGCAATACAAAGTTCTCAACTTTTCCCCATCTGAGCTGCTATTTAGCTAAAATCTCAGTGCTCCCCCAATTTGGATGTGTTTGGATTTTGTTTTGCTGGTTTTGTCATTCTTTAAATTTCTGAAATTTTCTATGAAGAATTGAACATTTGTGCCTGTCTAGGGTATAGGTTTCAGCTGAAATGTTCATATCTAGGTTGAGATTTAGAAAAAAATTGGGTTTTGAGCTGGGGCTTTTTTGCTTTTTGCTAATTCCATTGTTCCAATCTGCTTCTTACTTATGAAGATAATGTATTTTCCTGTATATTGTTTTCCCAAAATCTGGATCAAAGTTATAGAATGCTAGGTTATGAGAATCATCTTTGTTCTCGGGCCGATAAGATACGAAAAGAAATCAGTTGTTGCTGGGTTTGTGCTGTAGGAGGAGCAAGGGAGTGCAATAGGAGGAATGGGGTTGGTGAAGATGCTGCAATCAGCAGCGATGGGGAAGAAAAAGGGTTGGTGCGGGTGGAGGAAAGGGAAGGCATGCATCGCTAGTCCTTTTTTTATTTGTTTAGTTTTTTAATTTTTATTTTTAATTTTTTTTTTTTAAATCTTTAATTTTTTAATATTTATGTGGGCTCATATTGACACATAGCGTCCCAGTTATTGTCCACGTGATCATCACGTCATCAGTTAACGGCTGACTTAATAACTAATTTAACAGATGTAAGAAATTGTCCTAAAATTAAGACTTGAGATATGATTCCGGGATGAAAAAAACTTTATGTACCAAATTTTGAAAACCAGGAAACTTGAAGGTAATAAATTGAGATAAACCTTATAATATTGTCAAAGACAATAATGTAAGGGCAAAAATTGTAATTTTGTAAAATATATGGGGTATACTTACCTTTTGAAAATTTCATTAAACAGACATTGATTACTCTATTTTGAAGAAAAAAAATACCTTTTTTTAGGAGCATGGTAGATCTGCTTCTACTTTGCTAATGGCACTATCATGATGAGACTTTTAGAATTTTATTCATTCTGATTATGTACCAAAAAAGAAATAAAACTTCATTTAATATTACAGTCTAATGATAATTCCTCTTCATTTGCAAACGAGAAATCTTAAGTTCAATTCTCGCCAAAGGCGAATTTAAACCACATTATTGCTAGCCCATTGTGATGCTGAGCACACTCCCTTAACGTAGATAATATCGTTCAAAACAAGCCATAACTGATTTGCCAAGACCATTGTTCAAACATCAAGACTCAAACTATGTGCATTCCGAAATCAAAGAAAAAAAGAACGGCGTTCTACTCTCCAGTTCTCGACTGCATGTTTTATGTTCTAAACTTGTAAAACAAGAACCATACTAGTTTTTTCAAGCATGAAACTAATCTAGCCAGTCCGCAGGTCATCTGTTTTTCAAAATACCAGTCCTCTAACACGCAACGTGATGAAAAATACATGCTGAAGAGAAAAACGTAGACAAATCTCATGGACTTGGATGAAACACGAGCGTTATCACATTGCTGATACAAGCAAAAACTGGGTTTCAACACATAACAGGGGAAGAACTCATGGTTATGCAGCATTTTTATCTTTGGCTAAGCCAGGAACAGCTCTAATTGCAAAATCATATATGCCTGCAGGAAGCAAAGACTTGAGAAAACAAATGAACCAATTTTCAATTTATTCTCTTCCCCAAAACTGGTATTATTTATATTTGTGTAAAAAAAAAATTACAGAACGGATATTCATGTCCCTTGTAGGCTTCTACTGAACCTTATGTATAAAATAAGTTAGGGAAAAAAAGTACGAAAAATTTCTCCCTTGTACTGAACCTTACATGCTATCCTCGTTTTCAATCATTTCACGAACTTCGTTAATGACTAAATGTGCTTTGTGACCACCGATAACCTCAGCTTGCTTCTTGCCGTCTTTCCACAACTGTAACATAGTCATCCTCATTAGTAAGGTGAATAAATAGAAAACGGGAAGAAGGAACACCCCAAGTTCCTCAAAGATGTCTCACCGATGTGCGAGGTTACCTGTATAGTTGGCATCTTCTGCAAGAGACGAAAGCACACCATGTAAATACGCACAAAGAAAACCAAAATGTCAGTCAACATTCTGCACACATATATATGTCGAAGCAAGGATTCGATAGTAGGATTAACATGTCTATGGCTGTATGATCACAGAAAAAAAATTGGAAGCTTGTCATGTTCTGGTGCATAAAAAGGAAGAGGATGGTTTTAAATTGTGAGCACACGACACGGTTTGTAGTATAGAGTTAGTCTTGAAAAGATTACACAGATAGCATTGAGTTTGCTAACAAAGTTCAAAACGCATATAGCTTTGCACATCACCCCTCCTGCTCCCTCCCAACCTCCATCCCCCTCTGTCTCAGTCATACAAGTAAGTGAAACAACATTAACTCATTCAAATGATGTCCACGACGACAAAACGACTCAAAACCTACATAATTTGAAGAATATAGATCACTTCACCGATCAGTTGCAAAGACTTTCGTAACTAATGACAAAAAAGCCTTGTGCATGCCAGAGTAGATTTTGGATTTTTGAATGTTAGTCAATTCTGTGAAGCTATACACCAGACAATTGATGAAAAAGTATTCAGCCCAAACTTACATGACTACTCCCACACCAATACAAGTCACGTTGACATACTTTTGCAAGTGGGATGAATAACTTACAGTGACGTCAGCACGTTTAACGAGTTTGTGTGGAACTGAATTGACATCAACAGAATAGAACTTCAATCTACAGAAAATAAACTCAGATTCAGAATTTATTCTGCATTGCGGAGTTGTACGCCAGCGAAAATAGTAACATACAATTGATTATTCTCAGTACATAGGAATCTCATATATGCATGTACATATGTATGTATTCAGTATTTACATGAATGCCTGCCAAGTCTCACTTTGCCTTGAAATATCGTTTTCATTATCTGTATATAAATACATAAATGAGATTTGGGAGTTCACTAGAGAGAAGTATATAGGAGAGAGTTAATGCAATTTTTATTTCTGTAATTAAATGAAATTTTCTACTTGTACCCAATGTTAAAGCCGCTTTTGCAGACTGTAAAAGGAAATGCCACTGTAATACTGCCTTAAATTGAGTACCTAGAATGATGGTTCTAGAAACAAGAAGGCACAGATTTCACCAGGGAAAGCATCTTAGTAGAGTTTCAAGCTTTATTGCAAGCTCTCCGATAATAAGCACATCAATCAACAGTGTTTTGACAATTGACAAACTAAAAGAAAAGAGATTTAGTCCGATGAAATACCTTCATTGCGTTCATAGATGAAACTCAAAAATTGCGTTCATAGATGACACTCAAAAATTGAAATAAAGAGAAGGAAATATCAATGTTAAGAAGTTCCAATGTGAGATTGTTTTATAATAATCGACAGAGACGGCTAATAAGTGCCAAACCAACCTCGGATAGTACTCAGCTGCCAGCTTCTCCAATTTTGGCTTCAAATATATACATTTTCTGCACCAGGTTGCCACCCTACAAGAATATCCACTCCCACCTCAGAACCCATTTCAATGCAAGTTCCAATTTTTGTGTCGAAAACAAGGAAAATCTACCAATTCCTATATGCCAAATCACAACATTTTTAAGCAGGTCCGTATGTAGTAATCATTTTGTTTTTAGTTTTTCATTTACTAGATACCACCATCAAATGAAAGCTGAAAGCTAAAAACGAAGTGGTTTTCAAATGGACTTGAGCACACATGCATTTCCTTTCACTTCAGCATGGTAATGCAAGGCAAAGGCCCCGCCTTCTTTTCTCACCCTAAATTTTCTCAGCAACCAAACACACCACATTGAAAAACCCACCATACAAATATCCAAAATCTCATCAATCCAAACACCAAAATCGAAAACCCAGAAACTTACCAAACGACAACAAACGATTCGTCGAGCTGCTGGGCCTGGGCAACCACCCGATCGAACTGGGTCTCGCTGGAAATGGGCGCAAGCGCCACCATGACCGGTGAATCATCCACCTCCTGCAGCGACCCTTCCTGGCTCAAAGCACTCAGCGCAGTAATCCGCCCCCGGATTTCATCAAATTTACGGGAGAATACCGGGGAATTTGAAGAGCTTGGCGCTCTGGGTCTGAAGGCCAAAATTGAAACTTTGGGCGAAGCCGTTGGCCGGTCACGTGACCCGTCACTTGAGGCACTGGCTCTCGGCTGCCGGAGAGTAGGGCGCGTCGTCGGTACTACGGACATGTTGAACAGAAAGAGAGAGAATGAATCTGTTGACTTGGGAATTTTAAGGACCGTTGAGACTTGACGAGGATTTGAAGGGGTAGCAGGTGAAGCCTTGAAGGGGGAGGCGGCAGTGAGAATTGGCGGCGCGTTTGACGGCGTTAGTTGATGGATGGTTGGTGGGGCCCGCATGGCCTGACCAAATCCAACGGACTGCAGAGGCCTGAACTGTTCGATCGAGCGGGCTACGGTGAGATTTGCTGAAGTGACTTGTATTTAGCGCGTAAGGTTGCCACGTCGGCTAGCAGTTCGTTAAGAACAGCCGCCAATTTTGTCTGTCCGTTTTTGGTGTTCGGTTAGAAGACAAGACCCAAGGCCCACTAGTTTGTTAGCGGCTACCGAATACCAATCTACAATATATTTGTCTGTAGAGCAATTCTTTTTTATGTTTACTAGCTTGAATTAGGTGAGAAGTGACTCAATTGAGGAATATTTGAATTGAGGTGCTCAAATTCATATACTATTGAAGATGTTTACAAAAAAAATTAGGATTAAAGTTGGAAAGACATCAATTTAATATGTTATTTACTAATTTATCTACATTGAATCAATTTATCAAAAATAAAGAGCTAAAATTCCTCCAAAATTATATGAGGGTACGACTTTTATGATGGGTTGTTTCTCGATGAATTAGAATACAACCACCAACGAAGAGTCAAATTTCTCGACAATCATGAGTTGAATTTCTAATATTGTGTGACCAATTTGTGTTTTCATTGACATACGATTAGTGAACAAATGAGTAATATGTTTAATTTTGATTATTATCACGAATAATAGTATACAACCATAGAAGCCAAACTCATTCTAACCTTGTCCCTAGACTATATTTAATTAAAGTATAATCTTTGTTTCTTTCTTTTCATATAAACGATAACGAGTGAAGCAGGTTTGAATGCATAAGCAAATCTTCTTAGTTGCTCGAGTTACAAGCCTGTCTTGCATTTATTCTATTTAGCACTTATTTTTCAGAGCAATAAGAGCAACAAGACCAATAGCACACTACTCAAATTGTGGATATATAATTATACTAACTTATTGATTGGCGTAGCAAAGTGTAATATTACTTCAAGCAATATAAACTGGAAAACAAGATAAGGAATGCAGGATACAAATTTAAAGACAACTCAAAACTGTGAACGAACGCCACGAGATTATAGATACTTCAGCTATGCAGGGCTTCGCAAGTTCTCAACAATTTTCGAAATGGCCGAAAACGTGCCGAAGGCAGACGACACGACGCCTACTGCTATAATTATAATACAAAGTGTTCCCTGGAAATAGCAGAAAAATGCAGATCAGAAACCATGAAAAGCTCCAAGTATATAACGTTTATATTAAAGCATCGAGATTGCTCTCTTCTATCTAATAATGCGTTTGCGTTCGAGTCTGCCAATTCTTGAAAACCAATGCTAACAAGCTATCGTAACACAGACGTACCTGAAATCGAGTTATGCGTCCCCTCAAGATGCTCAGAAAGCAAGCACAAGGAAGTATCAAAGTCTGCAAGTAATATATTTGTCAGCGTAGTGCGTAGCTGCTTAACTCTTAAATGGATAAAAGAAATTTTGGAATTAGATTTCCTGCAGTTACGTGCAAAGTTACTACCACAAGAACAGAAGTGTGAACGAAAACTTACTACAAGCATTGTGAATAAAGATCCAATCAGTGACATCACGAGACCTGCAATAGTTTAAGGTAAGTTCGTAACACATTTAACTAACACAATATGACAACCAAATGGTTACCGAGATGCACAAGTGAGGCAAGGGATATGAATATAAAGGGGGAAATGCAAAGAAAGAAAGTTCAAGGGAGACTTACCAAAGAAGGGGATGCAGAGACCGACAACCAGGGTAGAGACAACGAGTGCCGTTCTAATTAAGACTGAGTATATGTAAGACTTGTTTGCTGGTACCAGCTCCTCCAGACTCATTGCAACGGGAGACATAGTTAATGCATATGTGGGTCTAATTAAGGAGAGACATATGTAAGTTTTTTCTCATCGTTTAATTTTATTTGTGTGCGTGTGTGTAGATGTTGAGCAACAAAGGCATACAATATATTCACATGTGGTTCTAGTTAATGTTTTTCTGAAGACACAAAATAAATTTTAGACTGCATCCATTGTGTGCGCATCTGTGATATATGTATGTGCTTGTGCATCAGATGACATTCATTATCCGCACAATTTGCAGAAAAGGATATTTGGTAAAGGGGTTGACCACCTGTAAAATAACACCGATAATGGTATTAGCAACTAGCTAAAGGAAAGGCTCGCTACATGCGTAAAGAACACAAAAAGTTTGAGGCTAGGGAAACGAAAACTTTGATGAGCATACCGTAGTCCACAGAGCAATCTTAGATGCGACTAAATTGTGAGGCATGTTGAGAGTGAACTGCGACTGTATTGATTCTCCAAACATCGTGTAACCCACAGCAGCAACTCCAGCGTACAAGAAAGTGCAAATACAAAAACTTCATGCATGGATAACAAATCCAAGTGAAACAATGCAGTTAAGAAGTTGCAATTGTTTACAAACTATAAGACTTGACGAAAATTTGAAATTTCACCAGAAAAGGCAGAAAACATTTAAAGATATTTATTAGTAAACTAAATGAAAAGATGGTTCAGCATAGCTTACCATGTTAAGATGATCGCAGGGTATTGGTTTCGCTTTTCCAATGAAGTATAAATGTTTGGGAAAACAGCATGTCCTGAGTAGCAGTAACCATAGAGTCCCATAGCAACAGGAAGCGTTGCAAGGTTCAGGGGTGTCCCTTTGTTCTCAAAGCCAACTCCATCTACTAGACCAACCCAAAAGAGGCAAAGGGAAACCAAGATTGATGCAATGACTCCACCCGCTGGAAGCAAAAAAAGTAATATGTAAGAGTTCCTTGAAAGAACAGCATGCATTTGGTTAATTTAGTCTTATTGCGATCAAACAGATTTTCTAGCTTCACCACTAACATGGACAAGGCAAATTCATTTCAGACAATTTTCAGATGCATAGGATACATAGATTATATTCAACTTTCTGAACTCACCTGAGATATAGCTAAGAACACTGAGGTCTCGAAGCCATACAGTAGGAAGAACAGCAAGGGTGGTCGCAATTGCAAATAAAAGGTGAGCATCTAACACGAATCCGCCCAAACTCAGTTGTGCATTTGGAAATAGTGAAGACAAGTTATCACTCTCCAAAATTATATATTCTATGCAACAAGCCTGCAGGTAGAGAAATTTAAAGTCGGCGATCTACGTGCTTAGAAAGAAAGAAAAAAAACGCCTGAGATGTGTGCAATTTTTATTCAACGTCTCAGAGCAGCAGGACAATGTGATGATGGATATAAGAACCAAAAGAATCCGTTCGACTAGACGAATCGATCATTTGACTACACAATCATTTAATCTCGGTTCTAAGCTCCTAACAAAAGAATTTTTTTCCTGTCCAACAATAGCTATTCTGGTCACTATCTGATTCCAATTCTAATTCACCAAGTCTGAAGCCCCTAAGCTAAGAACCTCAATCAAACATGGATCTCAAGGCAACGTTGAGTAGAGTTTTAAAAAGATGTTGTGACAAGGAGCTACGTGTTACGGCCCTATATCCCACATGTCTCTATCTCAATCGTTGTGATAAGTTACGCAAGGAGTTAGATAGAGCCATGGAAATATATTCCGGGATAGGTAAGTTTTGAATGATAGTACTCAAGAGCCAATTTTCACACACATTTCTTACTGTCTTACACACCCCTCTTTCTTTTTGGCTATCAAATTAAATAAAAGAAAAATAAAATAAAAACAGTCTAAATTAAACAAGGGTGTGTAGAAGGAGAAAAAAAAGTGTATTTATCATTTATCATTTCTCTTTTGGTAATGAACACCAAGGCAAGAGCCACCTGCCTCTTGTATGTTTTCAATTTTATTGAGCACTTACAGGCACTTAAGTGCTTTGATCTAACAGCCCTCGGTTGATTAATTTGAGTATTTGGGTTTTAAAATATGTGTCGGCATTGAGTACCCGCAACTGCAAGTACTCCAAAAAAATGGGTCTATTTTAGTAATTTCACCCACGGACTAATTTATGTAAGTGGTTCACAATATCAGATCTAGATGTGGGACCAGGGATGTAAGGGTACGTGGTTCCCACTGGCATCCAGCTTCTTGTTCCTTTTTAATCATCCCATGGATGTGTTCCATTTGAAACCATAGAGTCATAGACATGGGTAAATGATCACACAAATAATATAAAGGAAAATACTCACTCAGTCAAGCCAGCTGTACTTACATATAATTCCACGTACAGTACTATCTGCATCCACAAAAACAAAAACAAATCACTTAAACGACAGCAATTGCAGCCATTCAATTCAAATCTGTATATCCACTTTGAAATTTAATGTCTTGTTTTCTTCTATGATTCCTGCTTTTTATAGGGTTCGTTAATACAAGTCAGTCTCGTTTCTATTAAAAACGTGATACATATTTAGGTGCTCGTATATAAATATGGTACATAAACTATAAGCTAGCTTACCGAGATGCCGATTCTGCCTCCAATACCAAATGCAGCTTGGCCAATGTCCGGGTATGTCTCGAGCCCAGGTTGGCTATCCAAGCAGTAACGCAGGAGCAATCCGGTGTAGAACGAAAGCACTGCAAAAATAAGCAGAACGAAGAGCCCGAGCCATCCTCCTTCCTTGATTGCATATGGCGTCGAAAGGATTCCAACCCCGCAAAGAACGTTAATTCCTGAATCATGGAAAATGGTCAGTCGATCCTGATGGAGCTTTGAATGATGTCACGAACAATTTAGACAAGCCAAGCAATGTAATTGGTGCCAACATTTTGTTACTTATTTAGTAGATCATTTCATGTGCACCATGTGCGATAGAGGCTAACCCTAAGCAACCACATCAGCTCTTGGGAAATAAATACAGGATTTGCTTGTTTGGATGCTCATAAATTGAAGATATTAACAGGATATGTATAAAGCAATGAGGTAATATGCAGACACACGTTATATAATATTCCTCAGATTTTAAAAAAAGTTGGTAACTATATTTTATTCCTCAGATTTGAACAAACTGAAGTATGTACGTAAAAAGGAGTAATAGTAGAGAATGAATGTTTTGACAGGTAGATTCTACTCTATCCCGGTGTATATTCCAGTGTTCCTTCGAGATATGTACTATAGGAACACTGCGATATACACCCAGGACCCGGAACAAGAGTCGGACCACTATTGAGTTTAATTGAAAGGATATGCCAGCATATTTTCAACATTACATGACATGGTTGGAGTTCGTGGTCCCGGCAATTTGTTTGCTAACATATAGTGAAGCTCAAGTGGTTGTAACTGTAAATTGTGGCAACTAATAAATTTCAATGGATTTGCATTAGGACACACAAAAAAAGTCTCATTATATATTGGGCATCCTTAAGAACAATAATAGTACAACATCTTTTGAAAGTACTCGAATTTGGAGAGTTGTCGAAAGAGACTGAACTCGTGACCAAGAAGCAGTTCCTGGACTTAAAAACAGCGTTATAGCAACCAATTTCGGGCATAATGCAGATGAAGGTGAACCGATATGTACAAACATACATGTGCGCAAACATTAAAGTTCACACTTACCATTAAACACAGCTTGTGTAAAGGAGCTGTGGCGAGACATCGGATGATGGTCATGAGTAACTCTGGATGCTTTCTCATCTTTTCTAACAGAAGTCCTCCTTGGCAAAGGAGGAAGCAGAGAATGAGAACTGCGTCTCTGCGGCTGTTGTTGTTGTTCCTTATCTGCGAGTGTTGGTAATGGTTTCGGCAAGAAAGGTAAAGTTTCGGGAGTGTGCCTTCTTGTTAGGGATGAGGAAAGATACGAACTTCCTAGTCTTGACAATGAAGGAGTGCCCAGAAACCCAATACCAGGGGACGGTACACTACTATACAGATCAATAGATTGCCTGAAAAAGCAATTGCAAGACAATAAAGTTTTAATTTGGAATTGATGATCGATGAATCACAAGAATAAGAGAATCAAACAAATATTTATCACCCGTCTAATTTGTCAATAAACTTCTTCAAAGACAATTCAAAAAATCAATGAGCAAGTCACGAACTAGTTTCAATTCAACTTTACGAGAAATTCATTTCAGCCAATAGCCAAAATCATACCACTCCCTTTTGTTTCAGCAAGTATAAAATGAAAGGATGCAAGAAAAACAAAGAACAAGTACTTTTCATGTGTGCTCTACTGCCTAACAATCTGAAACTAACGTGTTCTTCTTTTGGCTTAAACAATCCGAAGTGTTATAAGCAGCCAAATATTGATGTTAACCCTAAATTCTAGAGATTCCCAACTTCAGTTTTGGCTCAGCTTCCTTAAATTGTGGCTCTGATTTCTTTTTCTTTGTATCAACTTTGTATGTAGAAACAAAAGTTTACGATAACAACAACAAAGCCTTATCCCACTTAAGTGGGGTCGGCTGTATGAATCTACCAAACTTTACCATTCATGTTTTGATTCCCAGCAGAAACTCACCTATAAAAATAGTAAATTTCCTTTACTACATGCTACAGTGGTAAAAATTCTAATTGAACAAGAACAAAATCATGGAAAATTACATGGGGGAGAAAGAGAGAACCTGTAACTTTGAGGCCATTGAGTGTTGTAAGAACTGGGATTATTCGGCTGCTGATTCTCAGTAAAAGATTCGGCAGAAGAATCCGAGTCGCCTCCATCTTCAATGCTCTTATTGAAGTCCTTTTCCACATCATCTTCCTCCTCACTCTCAACGTAAAAACTCCGATCCGAAACCGAGTTATTCATCTTCTTCTTCAAATCTTCTTCTCCCAATCACCCTCTGCAGAAAACTCGCAAACACCAAGAATCCTATGAAAAATTGTAATCAGGTAAAAGGGTTTGCAAATTTTTTAACTGACCCAGTTGAGAAAACCAGTGAAAAATCATGAATCCAACGAGAACAAAGGAAGTATTATGGCACATTTTGCTCGTTTGTTTGATGCTTGGGGCAGAGTGTTAGTGGTTTTCTTTGTTTGGAATTAACACAACGTGAAAATTGTTTGCAAAGCCAGAAATTTATTTATTTTCCAGCTAATTAACTTTAAATGATAGAAACAACTATCCAAAACTTTCATCAAAATAAATAAAACCAAAACAAATATAAAACATACAAAAAAGTTATAGGAAAATAGTACAATTAGATTGGTAATTTGGTAGAGACATAATGCTACACGGATTTGGCAGAAGTTTTAGGCTCAAGTTTGAAGTTATCAAAAGGAACTTGCACTCTGTTTGGTTTCCGAGAAAATAAAAGAGCCGGAAAAAATGCTGAGTAAGTTCCGGAGTCAATGATTCCTGCATTATGTTATACTATACAAAAAAATCCAATTCAGCTAATAAGCTCGGGTACTGTAATAAATTAGAAATATGAGAAAAATACAAGAAGAAGAGACATCAGAAAATATGACGCAAAAAATTTCTTTTCTTTAGTGTAATTTTCCTCCTCGGTTTTCTTGGAAACCAAACAGGAAGTGTGACAGATAATTCTCTCTGGTAATAAATACCAGAAGGAGAAATTAATTAAGGAGAGCTCTAAAGGCAATAAGTGGCATGCTATTACAGGAGCTCCAGAACAAAAAGTACAAAGGAAGTAAAGAGAAGTGAACCTTTTTTTCCTTAGATTTTCTTGCTTTTTGTTTCCCGGGAATCGAAAAGGAGTTTTGCGTTTTTCTGGGATTCAAGAATGTGTAGAAAGTCGAGATTGGCAAAGCACAAGATTTCGAAAAGGCTCTGGCTTCTTCTCAGAAGATGCCTCCAGGAGCAGCGAGAAACAGAGAGAGGATGTCTGCAGGCCAGTTTCTGCACTTCAATATATATATATATATGGACAAGGATTGTTTGTCCCCTCACTTCCGATGTCATTCTGTTTGTGTGGTCGCGGTTAAACTACGTCAATAATTTTATATTACTGTTCATTTTTGTCTTATTATCTCTATTAAAAAAAACAATATAAAATATTGACGTGACTTAACCATGATCACACAAAACAGGAGGGCAGAAGATCCTTGTCCTATATATATATATATATATATATAATAAATCTTTGTTTACTATCCTCATGTTTCGTGGTTTTCAACATTTGGTACATCAAGTTTTTTTCGTTCTAGAGTCATAAGTGTAAATTTTGGAACAGTCTCATACATCTGTTAGTCAAACTGCTAAGTCTCCTGTTAACTATGACGTAACACCCATGTGGACAATAACTGGGCACCACATGTCATTCACGTGAAAATTTAAAATAAATTATTTATAAAATAAATAAATATAATAAAAATTATATATATAAATAAATAAATAAATAAATAAAAATAAAACCTTTATCTTCCCCAAATCCCACTCGTGGCCACCCTTCCATCACCCACCTCTTCGTCTTCCCCAAATCCCACCCATGCCCACCCTCCCACCTTCCCATCACCCACCCCTTCTCCCACCCCGCCAACACTCTTTCTCTCGCACCACTCCTACCCGGACTCCCGCGACTCCTCCCATCACTCCCGTGAAATCAACTACAACACCCCCGACCAACCCCATTCTGCTCCCTCTGTGACACCCCTAACGATGCCGATGCATCCTCTTCGACGGCTCCAGTCATGTCTTCGGTTTAGATCAGGTCTTCCGATGGATCCTCTCCAACGGCTCCGGTCACTGCCTCGCCGACAAACCTCGATTTCCTAGGGATCGCCACACCGAAGAATTGGTGATTTCTCAGGCAGAGATTCAGAGGCAGATCCAGGAGTTGCAGAGGATGCAAATTGTTGCTGGTCACGAGCCGAGAGGCACATAAACACTCAGGGTATCCGGTTACAACTGGGGTGGGAGGGTGGGCGCGGGTGGGATTTGGGGAAGACGAAGAGGTGGGTGATGGGAGGGTGGGCATGGGCGGGATTTGGGCAAGATGAAGGTTTATTTATTTATTATTATTTATAAGTAATTTATTTTTAATTTCCATGTGGATGACACGTGACACCCAGTCATTGTCTACATGGGCGCCACGTCACAGTTAATGGGAGACTTAACAATTTGACTAACGGATGTATGAGACTGTCCCAAAATTTACACTTTATGTATGACTTTGGGACGAAAAAAACTTAATGTACTAAATGTTGAAAACCATGAAACATAAGGATAGTAAACAGAGATTTACCCATATATATATATATATATATAGAAAGAGAGGGACCGGTCCGGACTCCGACTCTCTCAGTCAACATACGGTAAATTGGTAATGTTACCGTGAACGTAAACAATTCAGAGATGATCGGGAGTTTTTCCCTTCTTTTTTACTTGTTCAGGTAAAATCAGTGGTTAATTAATTTGTATAGTTTGTTGTATTTTCTTCAAAAAAAAAAAAAAGTTCGTAATTTTTGCCTTTCCGAACACAAACGGGTCTTTTTATTTCTTTCTTTCGTTTTATTTGATTGACTTGAGCTAATTATTTGCATGATTTCAGCTAATATTTCTTATTGGTAGCAGAAAATACGGGCTACAAGAGGTTGACAGATAGCTTGGCAGTGTAAAAGCTTCTGACAAAAAAAAAAAAAAAAAATTGTATAGAATGTGTTTTTATAAGGTTCGACAGAAACAAATGGAAGTGTATGTTTTGCGTTATACTTTGCATGTTTATTGTTTCCTAAGAAAAATGTTTTCTTTTTACTTAGTATTATAATTTAGTGACATTATGTGAAAATTTGATGGTCTATAAACCGTTCCAAATGAACCATCGACTCATGTTTGAGTATTATAAAATAACTTTGTACTGGTCTATTGCTAATAAACATTCCGGCCTCATATAAGAATGGAAAACTGGAGAACAAGTTTAATACCATTTTCTATCATCCCTTAATGCAAATGTATCCTTGTATCAAAAAGAAAAATGCTTCTTACTTGAACGATTTAGATTTGGTATTGAAATTGGAGATTATTTTTGTTTTTGTTTTTGTTTTTTTTTTATCCCATTGGAAGTTTTAGTTGTTTTAAATTATTGGTAGGTTAATTAATTGTTTTAAATTATTGGTAGGTTAACTCAGATAGAGTTTGATGTTTAAACAAAAATACTTTAAAAAAATGTTGGTCTGGCATTCATAATGTGAAGTCCAATGTGGAAGTGATTACGGGAAGAAGCTTGTCCATTAAAATTATTTTAAAGTGATTTTAGCGAGAAACCACCTCTCCCCATATTTTTAGAGTCAAATTGACTCTCAATTGAGTCTTAAATAAGAGAGTAGTTGACTCTCTCTAATTCACTCTATATCTTATGTGTTTCTCAATTCATGACTTATTCCTTCCAAATAAATAAATATATCATTATATAAAGCAAGTCTTCAAAAAAAAAAAAAAATCCTATCTATCTAGATAGAAAATAAAGAGAATTCATTTGTCGATGACTTTCATCTTGGGGTCGGTGGCAATCTTCTTGGTCATTTCCCTCCCTCTGCTTCTCTTATATTGGTTGGTTCTTAGTGTGTCACGATGAAAAATTATAGTCGTCATTTTTGGATTTCAATTTGAATCCGGTTAATACTATTAAAAAATTCATTAGAAGTTTGATGGTTTAGGATTTTCTCTTTAGAATAGTTCTTTTGTTTTAGCTTTTATCTTGGTGTTGGCAATATGTTTACGCTGGTTCAAATCCAGCTCTCCCCAATAATTTGCCGATATTGAATCTCTTTCAGATTAATTATATGTGATGGTAGAGCTGTTTGATTTGCTAGCTGGATTTACTTCACTTAGTATTCTAGGCTCATGACAGCGATTAGGTGTTGCAGTTAGAGCCATGATCATCGCATACCCAATACCAAAATGATTTGATAGTTTTGTTCAAACATGATTTCCATGTAGGACAAGATTTAGCAGTTTTAATGATGATTGTAATCTTGAAGGTCTTGGTGAGCTCATCGCTTAATGAAGTGCTTGTAGTTTAATCATTGTTTTGCGATTGATAAGTTTTAATTGTAATTTTGTTATCTAGTTTGCAAAAACCCTTTTAGGGTTGAATTCTTCATGAAATGTATTTGTACTACTTTTTATTCAATAAATGAAATATCATATGTCTTCACAATAATTCACAAAATAATTAACATATCTTCACCGTACAAACATCATAATTGGAACAGTTCATTTCGCTTATCATCATCTAAACCATATTTGCCAAAAAGAAAAATTCAAATTGAAAATCGTTTAGCCATTAATATGCATCAAACAAATGAACGACTTTGGTAACAAGTAGCATCCCATGATTTCCTATACATTTGTTTGATGCATATGAATGGTTAAACGATCTCCAAATTGAATTATTTACAAAGATGACCTTTAGGTGATGATAAAAAGAATAAACGATTTGGATTGTGATATCGTTATAATTAAGATATAAGTGAAGGGACAAATAAGTTCCTCGTGAAAAAACACAAATATTTTCCTTTGTAAAATAAATCATAACTAGTGAAGCTGGGGGGATAAGACTGATAATTAAATTCAAAATATATATGCCTACTTCTGTTAAAAGAAAGTAAAAAAAAAAGGTCTTTTGCCATTTTTTTCTCAAAAGAAATTATGTTTAAATTGTTTTAATTTTGGTTCAAGTAATGAGACTGAGGCTTATGCACCAGTTCAAAGAGGTAGTCGAAGTGTCGGCTTCCTAATCTAACAACTCTATCGTTTGACAAAAAAAAAGTGCATTATATAATTATTTATATTAGAAAAAGCATATAAATTTAGGATTTGGTTAGCATATTTAATATGATCATTATTTCGACGGTTAGATAATAATAGTATTAAATTATATTTGACCGTCAAATAATAATTGTATTAAAAAGTAACATGGTCAATCCCTAAATTTTATTAGAATTTCCCCTTCTTTCTCTAGCAGCACCTATGTTCGATACTGAAGCGACTCGTGCGAATTTGAATCACATTATTACTAATTTATTGTGAGGCTAAATTCATTCCTCACCTTAGTGTAATATCGTTTGTTCAAATAATAATGATAATCAATGGCGGAGCCAGAAATTTTTTTATGGGTGGACTAGTTAAAAAAATTACCCTAAAATCAAATGATATATTTTTTTTGCTACATACATATTGTATGCAAAAATTTAAGTTTAACTTCTGTATTTGTATACTTAAAATTTACTTGGCATGAACTCAACAATCTTTACATATGCAAACCGCAAAAATTACTGTGACATCCCACATTGCCCAGGGGTGTGATCCTTATATGTATATTCCCATCTTTACCCAACACGAGACCTTTTGGGAGCTCAATGGTTTCGCATTCCGTAAGAACTCCGAAGTTAAGCGAGAAGGAAGGTTAAAGCAATCCCATGATGGGTGACCCACTGGGAAGTTGCTCGTGAGTTTCCAAAAACAAAACCGTGAGGGAATGGTAAGCCCAAAGCGGACAATATCGTGCTACGGTGGAGTTGGGCCCGGGAAATGATCCGCCCCAGGCTAGGATGTGACAATTTGGTATCAGAGCCTAACCTTGGCCGCGTGTGTGTCGACAAGGACATCGGGCCCCTAAGAGGGGTGGATTGTGACATCCCACATCGCCCAATGATGTGATCCTTATATGTATATTCCCATCTCTACCTAACACGAGGCTTTTTGGGAGCTCACTGGCTTCGGGTTCCGTAGGAACTCCGAAGTTAAGCAAAAAGGGGGCTAGAGCAATCCCATGATAGGTGACCCACTGGGAAGTTGCTTGTCAGTTCCCAAAAACAAAACCGTGAGGGAATGGTAAGTCCAAAGCGGACAATATCGTGCTACGGTGGTGGAGCGGGTCCGGAAAGTGATTCGCC